AGCCCCCCCAACATTCCTAAAATCACCTCCGATTTAAGTTAATTCTCGGAACTCTTGATGAATCTTTTTTTTTTTTTTCATTTTGCTGTGAACTGGCTGCAATTTGATCTTCATTTTGCAATACCGATTTAATACAATTACCTAGAAGAGAGACACACCTTCTCTTTTTTTTCCAGCTCAAAAGGGTTTCTAATGAAATTCAGTTAGATAGCCACAGCCAAAACTGATTAGATAGCCACAGCCATGAACTGAGCTGCAAATGCTAAACTTTCTTATTATAGTGCCCATTATGAATTGCAAAAACTACATTATGGAAGCAACTTCTAGTAATCATTTAGTTGTAAAATGAAAATAAAGAAGCTTTAAAAATATATAAATGAAAATTGACAGGGTGCTGCGCTACTAAGTGACTGATATGTGAAAAAATGGATGACATAAACTAGATATAAATATATCCCTCATCCAGGTGTGAACATAATATACAGATATATAAGGTGGTGCAAAAACTGCTAAGTGACGATACCAGCCTCAGGGAATCGGCTATGAAGTGCTAGTGACACAGGTGAATAAAACAATGGCTAATATATACAAAGAGTGACTCAATTCCAAAATGATTGATCAAAAATAATAAGTGACAATACCAGCCACAGAAAACCGGTTGAGAAGTGCTAGTGACAAAAGTGGATAAATCAATGGCTGATATATACAAAAGGTGACTTAGTCCCAAAATGATCAATCAAAAATCATTGATAGGTGACTCAATCCAAAAACATAAAAAAGTGACTCAGTCCCAAAAAATATATATGTATAAATATAAAAATGAAAATGACAATCCCAAAAAAATCTGAAAAAATCAGAACAAAACGCAGTGACTCTTCAGTGCATGTCGTGACAGATCCAATGCTGCAAACATATATGGACAAATCCTCCTCTGACTAGTGTGCGCGCTCACCTTTAAAATTCGACCCACAAGGAGTCACAAAGCAAAGAAAGCCTCAAACGATGATTTCCAAGGAATAGATCCTCGATACAGTCAGAGAGCAAAAGGTCATCTCCAATGGCGCTGACAAACACTCATAAGCATGCTCCAGCTATGGCCATAGACCTCTGTCATCCACAGTGTTTCTTAGAAATCATCGTTTGAGGCTTTCTTTGCTTTGTGACTCCTTTTGGGTCGAATTTTGAAGGTGAGCACGCATGCTAGTCGGTGGAGGATTTGTTCATATATGTTTGCATGCACTGAAGATTCACTGCGTTTTTTTCTGATTTTTTGGGGACTGTCGTTTTCATTTATTATATATATATATATATATATATATATATATATTTTTTTTTTTGGGACTGAGTCACTTTTTTATGTTTTTGGATTGAGTCACCTATCAATTATTTTTGATTGATCATTTTGGGACTGAGTCACCTTTTGTATATATCAGCCATTGATTTATCCACTTTTGTCACTAGCACTTCTCAGCCGGTTTTCTGTGGCTGGTATTGTCACTTATTATTTTTGATCAATCATTTTGGGATTGAGTCACTCCTTGTATATATTAGCCATTGTTTTATTCATCTCAGTCACTAGCACTGCATAGCCGATTCCCTGAGGTTGGTATCGTCACTTAGCAGTTTTTGCACCACCTTACACATCTGTATGTTCACACCTGGATGAGGGATATATTTATATCTAGCTTATGTCATTCATTTTTTCACATATCAATCACTTAGTAGTGCAGCGCCCTGTCACCTTTCATTTATTTTGTCACTATTTTGGAATACAGTTAGGTGTCTGCGGCCACTTTGTTTGTTTTTTGGGGTCACTTGGGGTAGGAAGGTAGTGCAGGAGGATCATCTCTATACTATAAAAATATATAAATTACCATTTTACAAACATGTAACTATTAGCTTTACATTACAAGGGTAGTTATAATTACTGGAAAGGATTGGTTGTATGAAGAGATTTGAAAATAGTGCTGCACATTTGTGGTGAAAAAAATTGGGATATGAGGCAGTTAATAATAATTTAATAATAACTCTGATCTTTAACCACTTGTCTACTGGGGCAATGTTTTTCTTGCTAAATCTGCATTTTTGCTGGAAAACTCAAAATCCCCAAACAATTATATATTTTCTAAAAGCAGAGACAATGGATAATAAAATAGCAGCAGTTGCAATTTTTTAATGTGGCACGATATTTGCACAGCTATTTATTAAATGCATATTTTTATTAAAAGAAACACTAAAATGAATTTTAATGCAAACAAACACATTATACCCAATTTTTTTGTATAAATGATGGTATGCAAAATTCTCCAAAGGCATAACTTTAACAGTCTGTAGAGGTTATCAGTTTAGAGATGACCATGAATTATGGCTTTAGAATTATTGTTCTCACTCGGTTGTGGTGATACGCCACAAGGGTGGTGCAATTTCTGTTTCCATTGTTTCCATTTGCATTGGGGTGTGTAAGGTGGTGTTTTTTAATCTTTATTTTATTATAATTTATCTTTTTAAACACTTTTTTTCTTTATTTAACCTTATTATTATCACAAGGAGGCTAATATGCCCCTTTTGTAATAGGATGGGCAAGTGACAGGTACTTAATATGGAGACATCAGGGGTCTATTAGACCCTCAATGTATCCCCTACCCTCCAATGCAGATTAGCAAGCACAGTTTGTGCTTTATTAGCTGCTTCCCCAGCAACTGTAGAGAAAGAGACGTGAATGTGCGTTGCTGGAGATTAAGCATGAAAAACAAACATGAAAAAAAAGAGGAAGGCGCCTCTAAGTGCATTATTGACAATTTATTAGTAAACAATAGATAAATTGCACTTACTGCCCCCTTCACCTCCTACATCCGACTCTGCTCTCCAAGCCTCATTTTGATGCACAGGCACATCCTGGGCTCTACTTCCTGATCCTATAGACAGAGTTTGCTGCTGGATGGCTGGATGCCCCACCTGGATCTTATTACACCACACGATGACCACACAATCTTTTTAACTATGTATCTTGTAAGTGCAATTTATCTATTGTTTACTAATAAATTGTCAATACTGCACTTAGAGGCGCCTTCCTCTCTTTTTCATTTTACTGCATTAGAGCCTTGCTTCCACTCTAAGACGAGCTACCTCAGTGTTACTGCTCCCATCCATCCCTGATATCCATCTGGCACCTTTATCCTACAGCTACAGAGGTTGGGCTTTAACAAGCGCGCCTTATATAATATACATTTTATGAAAAATAAACATTTTATTTTGTCCTGCACTGAAATGCTTTAATGTTATTCTTGATTTTCCTGATTCACTTTATTTCTGTAGATACACTGTTGTTCTTAAAAGAAAAGTGTGGGATTTAAAAAAAAAAAATCATACTCTCCTCTGTGACTGCAGCATCGATCTGATGTTGTAGCCGTTCTCCATCCAGCTCTAAGACCGATAACTGAGCGACTCTGGGTCACAGACATGCAGAAATAAGTGCACTCCTGTGACCCAGAAGAGAAGTATGGCAAAAAAGCTTTGGCCATACTTCTCCTTTTAATGTATTTCACTTTTCATGCTTAGAGGTGCTTATTTCAATTTTTATTAATGACATGGAAACGGAGTATATTCACGTCTGTAATGCCTCTTAACCATTTATATGCCTTGCTTGAGCAACATTCTAATATGTTGATCCTATGTCTCTTCTTTCCACAAGCGTAACATGATCAAGAAAAAATAGGATAGAAAGATGACAGTAATGTAAAGGGGCTTTTAGCAGAAACTCTGTTTGTTTTGGGAGAACTGTCTGAGAATTATGTGGATTGGGTTTCTTTCTCTTTATCACCAATGTTTTCCCCAGATTATGGGCAGTGCCAGGAGAACCTGTAAATTCTGCCCATTAAACACACTAAAGCTGGCTGTACATATATTGATTTCTGTTGTTCAGTCCACAGAAAACTAATGAAATTCTCCATTCACACTAATCAGCACAGATGGATGAATCTCTTCTGCTGACTACTGTATTAGTATGTACTGTACGAAAGCACGGGCTGTCAGAATACCCTAACAGAGACTTCAGCTATTTGGCTGCAGTTATTGTTCGGCCAACATTTTCTGCCTAACTCCTTTGATATTCATATCGAAGTCTGTTGAGCTGGGTGGTGCCCACATGGTCATCCATGGTTTGCATTTCAGCTGATCCAGCAGGAAACGACTGAAATTTGATCCATTTATGGCCAGCTCCAGGTGACACGAGCATGCATATTTATGCAACAATATTGCAATACAGCCGCTAGATAGTCAGACCACTCCTCTACATTTAACAGCTATCTAATGTCTATAACCAGATGTTTATTGCAAAATCATCAAAGGCTGGAGTAGAACTGCAGCCAAATCTTTTTCTTTTTTTCTTGTGTTGACAGAATGAGGAAGGGGAAGAAATGTTGTCAGGTTTTTTTCTGTGTGTGTGTTATCAACTTAAGCACATTAGGGGTAATTTACTAAAACTGGTGCAAAATCTGGTGCAGCTCTGCACAGAAACCAATCAGCTTCCAGGTTTTATTGTCAAAGTTTAATTGAACAAGCTGAAGTTAGAAGCAGATTGGCTACCATGCACAACTGCACCAGATTCTAAGTGCACCAATTTTAGTTAAACTCCCCACAGTGTTTGTCTCTTGTCGTGACTTAGTTGATGATCAGATCACATTTTATGGCAAATTACTCCAGAAAATGAGTTAATTCCAATGGGTTCACATACTTTTTCTTGTCACTGTAATTAAAAATCAATAAAAAATGTTTGGCCTCGTTTCTACTTTAAAGCAGAAAACTAATGAAATTCTCCATTCACACTAAGCAGCACAGATGGACGAATCTCTATTGCGAATGCTGGAATTTCAGATTTAGATAGAAGCATACATATACATGGAGGTGAGTGTAACTTACGCACTGTACTTATTGACTGAACTCCACTTGGCTGATTTGTGTGTATTTGGTCTTTATTTGCATAGGTATAGCAAAAAAAGTACCTCTTTTGGTGAGAGTATAGAAATGTAATCTTCATATATATTCCTAGCCTTTTCTTCAATCAGTTTCTTGTTTTGCTCATTCTTCAAGTCTTCACATGCCAGCCAGAAGAGAAGATTTTCTTCACTGTATTCTGTGCGTAAAAATTCCCGGAATAGATTTCTTCCAGCAGGACTTTTCATCATTTTATCAAAATTGTGAGACCAAGATATGATTTCCTCTGCAGTAGGGCTTTTGCTGAAAATCAAAATAATTACATTAACATAATTCTGTAAGCATTTGTGACTTACAAATCTTTTAATTAACTTATACTTTTTCTTTACTAATACTGTAATTTACTGATTGAAAGATCAGTATTCATAATTATTAACAATATTTAATCCCTTGTGTAGCACTACCCCCTTAGGGGCAGCTGGATTTGAATTGGGTCCCCCCTATGCTCTGCACGGTTAAGCAACATGCATTTCCCACTTTGCACACTGGAGTCAATGAACAGTCTTTAAGTTTGGTTATGTGGTTTTTATCAAGGGGTGAATTTGGATGGGGTCTAGGGGTATATGGGATGCAGGAGGAACTGTAGAATTTGAGGACAACTGCTTAGCAACTATGTACAAAGATTAGCAACAGTCTCTTCCTGATGAGCACTAAAGACTCTTAGGTGTACCTCCTCAGATCCCGGATGATTCCTTCTCTTCACCCAGCTGCCTAAGGGGATGAGCAAGGGGGCCTAAGAGCTGTTAATTTAGAACAGTTCCAGATGAGAAGCTAGTTGGGTCTTACACCTGACTGACCTCTCCCCTTATCCAGCCCAGGGGGTGTAAGAGTGTTCACACTGTCCTCTCCTGTTAGCTTGGTGGGTTGGTGGCTTCCTTCAGGCCTTAGGCTGGGCTGGCTCCTTCCCTACTACACAGGCTGTCCTCCTTGGGAAACGTTGAGGCAGTTTCAGGTGACCTGCCTGTAGGTAGGCTCCCCTCCCAGGCTCGTCACTCCACCCGACACTGCACACTTCCCTCCAGGCTCTGCCACATTTGAGGGTTACCCTGGTCACCATTCCCAGCTTTCTGCCAGGGGACTGGCCAAGGTCATTAAAACATGCAGATCTGGGACTCCTCCCCTTCTCCACCCCTCTTCCAAAAAGCTCTCAGGTTTCCGGAAAGGTGGGAGGGCTCCAGAAGCCCTGACCTGTTAGAGCCTCTCAGCCTGTCCTAAGGTGAACTCACTATCTCACTCCCAGGCTGACTCATCCCAGGCTGCTACTCAGCCTCTGACTAACTAGAATCCTATCTAGGGGGCGTTACACTTGTATCTCTTAGCATGACATGATTTGCAATGACTGGTTAAAGAAGATCCTAGCAAGCTTTTGCATTTTGTCTATTCTGCCATGAGCAAAGAGGAAAATTCACCTCCAGGCTCACCTTAGCTGAATACTTGTCTTTTAGGGGCAAAACCTAATCCATACTAGAATCAACGACAACATACTGTATGTAGAATTTTGCCAATCTTAAGAAATCAGTTTAGTGAAAGAGGTTTTAAGTTGATCTTAGAGTAGATGTAAACCATAACATTTATAGTCATGTGAAGAAGTAAGTACACCCCATGGAAGCTGTTCACGTTTGCATTATTTTTCAACAGGCTAGCATAAGATCTTCATTCAAACATTCATTCAACATAAAATTGGCATGGTGTATTTATTCTTAGAATCTAAATGAGAATGAATGCAGATCTCCAAATAGAAAAAATAAGTACACCCTTACATTTAGCGCCACTTTAAATCAATCAGATCAGAATCAGGTGTTCTATATTAGATGCCAATGATTAGAACCTACTTAAGGCTAGGTTCACACCTATACAGTTTGCGTTTGATCCGTTTCCACAGTGCGTTTTGCGGTTTTGCACATGCATCTTTGATGCCTCTTTTATGCGTTTTGCATTCTTTTTTAATTACATTTTTTTCTTCTTGCTAGGCAGATTTAAAATGCAAAAGGCGGCAAAAACATGGCAAAAATGCATCAAAAACGCAGTACATGCTTTTCTGCAGCGTTTCCATTGAAGTCTATAGAGCCAAAAATTGAACTTTTCGCGTTAAAAAAAGTCCTTGACCCTTTCCAAAAAACGCACCGGGTAAAAACGCGGAGATGTGAACGTGTTCCATAGGAAATCATGTTAAATGAACTGTAATGTGTTTCTGCAAACCGCAAAACGCTGCGGAAAACGCTTAGGTGTGAACCTAGGGTAAGGAGCATCCGTTTTAAACCTCAGATATCTAAGGTGCTCTCTTTGCTATTGCTGTGTGCCATCAAAGCAGGTTGTGGATGCCCATGATTCTAGCAGATTTAAAATATTTAGGGAAAAATTATCTGAAATTACATAGTCAGTCTACTGTAATCATAGTAATTCTATTGTAGCCATACATAGCTAAAATTTTGGTCAGTTTCGGTTTTTGGCTTGACAAATTTAGATTGAAAAATCAAAGGAGCATGATGGAAAATTGTTGGCCAGTCAGTGACTGCATCCTAACAAATGCAATTATTGTTCTGTATTTTGACAGATAAGGATGCTGGCATTTGTCAGAACACAACAGTCAGCATGGGGATGGAGAAATCAAAAAAACTGAAGAGTGTATGGCCAGTTTAAGGAAAATTATGTAGATTTCAAATGACGGAAAATTCAGCTGAGCGGCCAGTTTGATAAGATAAGTCTCAGCTTGGGTTCACACTGCAGCGGTGCGAGAAACCGCATGACATTCCTGTTCGAATCAGGTGATTCTTTGCAGTGTGATTTTTTTTTTTTTTAATTTAAATATTTATTAATTTTTTAGATAAACAAGTTATACAAACATACTAATTAAAACCTTAGCATATTATCAAAACTTTTATCGTTTCCAGTCCCTAACCCCTTCTGCTCTGCATTTTCCTGTTTATTTCTGGAAATCGTAATCCCTATAAAAGAAGAACAAAATATGTTTCCATATTATTCTATGTTAATCCCCCATAACCTCTAAGGCTAGCCTTGACTTTTTGAATTCCTCCCATTTGTTCCATCTTGTATGGCGACTCTCCATCTTATCTTCATTCAAATGATAAAGTTCTTCCAATTTACATATTTGATCCACCCTATCCACCCAGTCTTTTATCTTCGGGACCTCCTGTCTCCTCCAATACTTGGGTATCAGTCCCTTCTTTGCAGTGTGATCTGAGCCCATTCATTTTGTATGGCTTAAATCGCACTGCACCCGCACGAAAAAAGGTGCAGGCATCTTTTTTTTTTTGCCGCACTGTAACCAGATTGCATGGGTGTTCACACCCATGTGATCTGATTCAGACAATCGCAGTGTGTTTTGTGACCTGTTTTGGGGTCTTGTAAATTTACCTTTGACACCCGCAGCAGATTGCATGAACTAGGTATGATTTCAGTGCATTGTGGGAAACGTACAGGATTTGATGCGTTTCTCACACTGCATACATGTGAATCTAGGTTCCAAATGCCCCGAAATTTCATTGTGAGATCTGCAGGTTACTCTTACAACTGTTGATATTGCATGCATACACCTACAATCAGAAAGATATTGCATCAATTTAACCTGCAGCAACAGAAGCTGTCATCTTAGCCTCTGTTTTATCGGCAGTTGCGATGGTGCTGCACATGTGATCAGATATGACTCCAGCCATTTGATGGTTTGACAGTTTGGTTGAAGGCACAAGCAAATGTGACAGCTAGAAATCCTGGCATTCCAGGAATGTAACTGTTTTTGGAAACCATTAAATGAATGGGTCAGTTCTGCTTTAATATTTATTTTGACACTTTGAATACTCAATCATTGTATAAAAGGAAAAAGTTTGGCATGTGACAAGACTTTACATTAGTAACCTCCACTTTAGTAAATTAACCCCAGCATGTTTTGTTTTCTTTTAATGTGTGTATAAAACAATTACAGATAAAAGTACCATGAAGAATGTGGTTATTTATTTTTTGCGAGATACATGGAACTGTGATCACAATAAAAAGGTCTGTAAGGGTTTCCACCTTTGTAGCCAATTTTGAGAACCCCCACTAAATGTTTATGTGTTCCCATTCACTGAGCATACCTAAAAAAAAAAAAAATATATATATATATATATATATATATATATATATATATATAATTGTGTTCAAAATAATAGCAGTGTGTTGAAAAAAGTGAATAAAGTTTAAAATCCTTCTAATAGCTTTTATTTCCATACACACAAATGCATTGGGAACACTACACATTCTATTCCAAATCAAAACATGAAGAAAAATACATCAAATGTGTGTTGTTCCTTTAAGAAAAATGAAGAAAAGTGAATATTAGACTGTTCAAAAAAATAGCAGCAGTGTTTGTATTCTTCTTTACAAACTCAAACATTCACTATGTAAACTGAAAAATGTTTGAAGATTTTGCTTTCCTTTGAATCACTTAATTAATATTTAGTTGTATAAGCACTGTTTCTGAGAACTGCTGTACATCTGTGTTGCATGGAGTCAACCAACTTCTGGCACCTGTGAACAGGTATTCCAGCCCAGGATGATTGGACTACATTCCACAGTTCTTCTCTATTTCTTGGTTTTGCCTCAGAAACTGCATTTTTGATGTCACCCCACAAGTTTTCTATTGGATAAAGATCCGGGGATTGGGCTGGCCACTCCATAACGTCAATCTTGTTGGTCTGGAACCAAGATGTTGCACATTTACTGGTGTGTTTGGGGTCGTTGTCTTGTTGGAACACCCATTTCAAGGGCATTTCCTCTTCAGCATAAGGCAGCATGACCTCTTCAAGTATTCTGATGTATTCAAACTGATCCATGATCCCTGGTATGCGATAAATAGGCCCAACACTGTAGTATGAGAAACATCCCCATATCATGATGCTTGCGCAACCATGCTTCACTGTCTTCACAGTATACTGTGGCTTGAATTCAATGTTTGGGGGTCGTCTGACAAACTGTCTCCGGCCACTAGACCCAAAAAGAACAATCTTACTTTCATCAGTCCACAAAATGTTGCGCCATTTCTCTTTAGGCCAGTCAATGTGCTCTTTGGCAAATTGTAACCTCTTCAGCACGTCTTTTTTTCAACAGTGGGACTTTGCGGGGGCTTCTTGCAGATAGCTTGGCTTCACATAGGCGTCTTCTAATTGTAACAGTACTCACAGGTAACTTTAGACCTTCTTTGATCTTCCTGGAGCTGATTGTTGGCTGAGTCCTTGCCATTTTGGCTA